TTGGCCCAGGGCACAATCCTGGAGACCCGGGATCGAATCCCACATCAGGCTCCCGGTGCATGGAGCCTGCTTCTCCCTCTGCCTATGTCTCTGCCTCACTCTTTCTCTCTGTGTGACTATCATAAATAAATAAAAATTTAAAGAAAATTAAAGAAAAGAAAAAGGACCCAGATAAAATCACAAATGAGAGAGGAAAAATAACCAATACCAAAGATATAAACAATTATAAGAGAATATTATGAAAAATTGTATGCCAGAAAATCGGATAACCTGGCAGAAATGGATAAATTCCCAGACACATATCAACTACCAAAACTGAAACAGGAAGAAATAGAAAACTTGAACAGATCAATAACCAGCAAATAAATGGAAACAGTAACCAAAAATCTCCAAACAAACAAAAGTCCAGGGCCAGATGGCTTCCCAGGGGAATTCTACCAAACATTTAAAGATGAGTTAATACCTATTCTTCTCAAACTGTTCCAAAAAATAAAAATGGAAGGAAAACTTCCAAATTCATCCTATGAGGCCAGCATTATTCTGATACCAAAACCAGGCAAAGACTCAAAAATATAACTGCAGATCAATATATCTGATGAACATGGATGCAAAAATTTTTGATAAAATACTAGCAAATAGAATCCAACTATTCGTTGAAAGAATCATTCACCACAATCAAGTGAGATTTATTCCTGGCCTGCAGGGGTGGTTCAATATTCACAAATCAATCTGTGTGACACACTATGTTAAAAAAGGAAAGGTTAAGAACCATATGATCCTTTCAGTAGATGCAGAAAAGGCATTTGAGGGATCCCTGGGTGGCGCAGCGGTTTGGCGCCTGCCTTTGGCCCAGGGCGTGATCCTGGAGACCCGGGATCGAATCCCACATTGGGCTCCCGGTACATGGAGCCTGCTTCTCTCTCTGCCTCTCTCTCTCTGTGACTATCCTAAGTAAATAAAAATTATAAAAAAAAAAGAAAAGGCATTTGACAAAGTACAACATCCATTCATGATTAAAAAAAAAAAAGTAGGATTAGAGGGAACAAACCTCAATATAATAAAGGCCATATATGAAAAACCTACAGCTAGTATCTTCAATGGGGAAAAACTGAGATCTGTTCCCTTATGGTCAGGAACAAGACAGGAATGTTCACTCTTACTGCTGGTATTTAACATGGTACTGGAAGTCCTGGCCTCAGCAATCAGATAACAGAAAGAAAAGGCATCCAAATTGAGAAGAAAGAAGTCAAGCTCTCATTATTTGCAGATAACAGGATACTCTTTGCAGAAAATCCAAGATTCCACCAAAAAACTGCTGGAACTGATACACAAATTCAGTAAAGTCTCAGGATACAAAATCAACATACAGATTGCATTTCTATACACCAATAATGAAACAGCAAAAAGAGAAATCAAGGAATCGATCCCATTTACAATTGCACCAAAACCTGTAAGATACCTAAGAATAACCTAACCAAAGAGGTAAAAAATCTGTACTCTGAAAACTTTAGAACACTGAAGAAAGTAATTGAAGATGACACAAAGAAATGGAATGATATTCCATGCTCATGGATTGGAAGAACAAAAAAATTTTTTTAAGATTTTACTTATTAGAGAGAGCATAAGTGAGGTGAAGGGCAGAGGAAGAAGCAGACTTCGCTGAGTGGAGTCCAATGTGGGGCCCAATCCCAGGACTCCAGGATCATGACCTGAGCCAAAAGCAGATGCTTAACAGACTGAACCATTCAGGCACCCTAAGAGAACAAATATTGTTAAAATTATATTGGGATGCCTGGGTGACTCAGTGATTGAGTGTCTACCTTTGGTTCAGGGTGTGATCATGGGGTCCAGGATCGAGTCCCACATTGGGCTCCTTGCAGGGAGCCTAATTCTCCCTCTATGTCTCTGTCTCTCTCTCTCTCTCTCTCTCTCTCTCTCTCTCTCTCTCTCATAAATAAAATATTTTTAAAATAATAAAAATTTAAAAAATATCTATATTACCCAAAGCAATCTACACATTTAATGCAATCCCTTACCAAATACCACCAGCATTTTTCACAGAGCTAGAACAAACCATCTTAAAATTTGTATGGAACAACAAAAGACCCTAAATAGCCAAAGCAATCTTGAAAAGCAAATTTGGAGGTATCACAATTCTGGACTTCAAGTTATATTAGAAAGCTATAGTGGTTAAGACAGTATGGTACTGGCACAGAAACAGACACATAGATCAATGGAGCAGAATGGAAAACCCAGAAATGAACTCAGAAATATATGGGCAATTAATCTTCAACAAAGCAGGAAAGAATATCCAATGGAAAAAGTCTCTTCAACAAATAGTTTTGGGAAAACTAGACAGCAACATGCAAAAGAATGAAACCGGACCACTTTCTTATACCATACACAAAAATAAATTCAAAATGAATGAAAGACCTAAATGTGAGACAAGAATCCATCAAAATCCTAGAGGAGGTGGGATGCCTGGGTGGCTCAGTAGTTGAGCAACTGCCTTTGGCTCAGGGCATGTGGTCCTGAGATTGAGTCCTGTGTCAGGCTCCCTACAGGGAGCCTGCTTCTCCTCTGCTTATATCTCTGCCTCTCTCTGTATGTGAATAAATAAATAAAATCCTTTTTTTAAAAAATGGGCAGGGGGATCCTTGGGTGGCTCAGCGGTTTAGCGCCTGCCTTTGGCCCAGGGCGCGATCTTGGAGTCCCAGGATCAAGTCCCGCGTCGGGCTCCCGGCATGGAGCCTGCTTCTCCCTCTGCCTCTCTCTCTCTCTCTCTCTCTCTCTCTCTCTCTCTCTCTCTCTCTCTCTCATGAATAAATAAATAAATCTTTAAAAAAATATTTAAAAATAAAATAAAATAAAAAATAAAGGGCAGAGACATTTTTCCAAAGAAGACATACAGATAATAACAGACACATGAACATCATTCATCATCAGAGAAATACAAATCAAAATTACAATGAGATATCACCTCACACCAGTCAGAATGGGTAAAATTAACACAAGAAATGACAGGTTTTGGGGATCCCTGGGTGGCGCAGCGGTTTAGCGCCTGCCTTTGGCCCAGGGCACAATCCTGGAGACCCGGGATCGAGGCCCACGTCGGGCTCCCGGTGCATGGAGCCTGCTTCTCCCTCTGCCTGTGTCTCTGCCTCTCTCTCACTCTCACTGTGTGCCTATCGTAAATAAATTAAAAAAAAAAAAAAGAAATGACAGGTTTTGGTGAGGACGTGGATAAAGGTAAACCCTATTGCACTGTTGGTCAGAATGCAAACTTGTGTAGCCACTCTGGAAAACAGTATGGAGGTTCCTCAAAAAGTTAAAAATAAGTTAAAATAATTTTTAAAAGTTAAAATAATAAGTAACCAAAGATCCAGCAATTGCACTACTAGGTATTTACCCAAAGGATACAAAAATACAGATTCAAAGGGATACATGTACCCTGATGATTATAGCATCATTATCAATAGCCAAATTATGAAAAGAGCCCAAATGTCCATCAACTGATGAATGAATAAAGAAGATGTAGTATATATATCAATGGAATTAGTAGCCATAAAAAAAAAGAACAGAATCTTGCCATTTGCAACAATATGGATGGAGCTAGGGAGTTATGCTAAGCAAAATAAGTCAGAAAAAGAAGAATACCATATGATTTCACTCATGTGGAATTTAAGAAACAAAACATCTGAACATGGGGGAGGGGAGAAGCAAACCAAAAAACAGACTCTTAACTATAGGGAACAAACTGAGGGTTGCTGGAGGGTAGGTCAGTGGGGTGGTGGGTTGAAAGAGTGATGGGAATTAAGGAAGGCACTTGTGCTGAGCACTGGGTATTGTATATAAATGATAAATCACTAAATTCTAATCTTGAAACTAATATTACACTGTACATTAACTAACTGGAATTTAAGTAAAAACTTGAAATAAATGAGTAAATGAATGTATGAATGAATATATCATTCTTCAGATTCTTTTAGGGAGTGCGTGAAAAGAAATTTTTGAAGGCCTTTGGTCTCATTTTTTTCTCATTTCTTTTTTGAATAGGTTTCTTATCTTCCTATCTAAATTATAAATTCTCTTTGCATAAGAATTACATTCTATTTTTTGTGTTTTTTTCCAGAAACTCAGGGAGAGGAGCATGTTAGTAAAGTAAGCAGCTATAGAGTTGAGTGAGGCAGGGGTTGACTTAAGCAGTCTTTGTACCCTGGCAGTATTGTCACTCATGCTCATGAATTTTATGTGCATTTTGTAAATATTGCTCAGTTCTACTCTTTGTCACCCCAAATATAATTCTTCCCCACCCAACCCCCATCTGCTATTGATGCTTGGAATTCAAATAGTGTCACATATTTTCATTCCAAAATTATTCAAAATGTATACATCCTCAGGAGAGGTAACATTGATCTAAGAATCAGGTTATATTAGATTACTTCCTGATAGCAACTTTTATAAAGGGAGGTGAGGTAGAACTAGGGGTTTATGTATTGGCTCCCTGAGCTGACTGCAGACTAAGTCAAGCACCTCTTCTTTACTGAAGTGATCCTGAGGAGCAGACTGGGTAAGACCTTAGTTCTGAAATGATCAACCACATAAAAATCCTCATTTCTGGGAAGTAAAGAGGTTCCCAGTGCCTAGACTGACTAAGAAATTAAAGACAATATTTAAGAGTGACCCTTCTAAGCCTCCAATTTGCAGACCATCCCATAGTAAAACTCAGCAATCACAACTGGACTTTCCTTTAGGTGAGTGATGAGCTCAAACACTTCTTTTCTATTTCTGGTAACTCCATATAATCAAAGTCCTTTGCGAATTTTCTTTCCTCTGGTATAGGGAAATTTTTAGTGCAGTGCCAAGAGCATAATAGATGTGAATCAAATAGATTTTTGGGAAGGGAAGGGACCCCTGAGGAGTAATTGATAATGAAGTTAGGCTGCCAGTTAATATGGAACCTCAGTCACTAAAGATCTTTGGTTCATTTTTCTCTGCAGCAAGTGAAAGGGAATTTTGCAAGGCTGCACGCCTGCATCTCAGAACTCCGCATGTTGCAGAGAGAAGGCTGTTTCAGACCACATGGCACTTCTCTGCAGCTGGCAGTACAGGATGGGCTCCAGCAGTTCAAACAGTACAGCAGACACGTGACCACAGGTACATCTCTGAGCTATACTTCTCTGGAGGTAAGAGATATTGGCCATAGGACTCTAAGCCCATCTCAGCCCATCTAGATGCTTCATTATTTATCATCCTTATATTGTTCTTTGTTTCATACACTTTGATGGTAATTTTCAAGGCTAGATTGCCATCTCCCTGCAGGCAAGATATATGTTCCCTTTTTTCTATAGCCTGTGCAATTCTTAATACAGAGCTAGACATTGAGGGGGATGCTAAAAATATGGGCTGAAATGAATTATAATGAAAACTGAAATCAAAATAAAATCTGAATATGCCATCTGCTTCTGGATTTTTGGAACTTGTAAAGCAGTTAAACAGCAGTTAAACCGCCTGTATTAGTGTCTATATTTATATTTCCTGGGCACCATTAAGAATTTACAGTTGTTCTTAATCAAATTGAGTAGCTCTTCTTGGACTTAGCAAATGTGCAAATTTAAAGATTGCTATCTGGTACAGACTAAGACAATCTTTAAAAATACAAGTAATCATGCCTGGGGGGTACCCCAGGTGGCTCAGCAGTTTAGCGCCACCTTCAGCGGGATCAAGACCCACATGGGGCTCCCTGCATGGAGCCTGCTTCTCCCTCTGCCTGTGTCTCTGCCTCTCTTTGTGTGTCTCTTGTGAATAAATAAATAAAATCTTTAGAAAAAAAAAAGGTCATGCCTGGGTACTTCACTACGTGCATGAGTGACTGTGAGTTAAAACACATTCAGTCTCTGGAAACCTCAGGCATCAAACAGATGCATTTTAAAAAATAATTGTGCTTTTATCTGTGTCCCTCTTTATTAATCAAAAATGTCCAAGGACAGGGGTGCTTGGGTGGCTCAGTGGGTTAAGCATCTGGTTTTTGATTTCAGCTCGGGTCATGATCTCAGGATTATAAAATTGAGCCCTGGATTGGGTGTCGCACTGGTGGTAGAGCCTGTTTAAGATTCTCTCTTTCTCCCTCTGCACCCGCCACCCCACCATAAACACATGCACATGCACACACACACACTCTCTCTCTCTCTCTTTCTAAAAAAAAAAAAAATCCAAGCACCAAAAAGAAATGTCCAAGTACATAAGAGAATTGCATAAATTTAATATTTGCCTTCCAGATTTTCAAATTTGAGACAAAACTGTTAATGAAAACATATAATGTATTTATTCATTAATAAATGAAATAAAATTTATTGGTGAAATAAAATATTCAGATTATACACAAACACCTTAATATTCTTTTAGGTTAGATATATTGGTCAAAGGGGAATACATTTTAGAGTTAAGAGAGCAAAAGAAACAGCTCACTTGTATACAGGTTGAATAAGGAGAGAAAGAAGCATAGAGGCTTTGATATTTAGTACACACTTAGTGGAATTTAAAGATTTTATTTCCTTTGTCACCTTGTAAAATAAAAGCATTCTGAGCATGAGAGATGCTACCAGTGCTTCAAACAATCTTAAAAAACTAAAACACAGGGATGACTTCTCATTGGTCACTTTCTGGGGTAGGCCTCACCTGTTTGGAAGGGTCCTGTGATGATTTGTCCCATCAAACCTCTCCCACCAGAATCTGTCAAATGAAATTTGGTTGTAAGTTACCATGACATCTTCTTTTTTGCCTTAAAGACAGGAGTCACTGCCACAGACTTCTGCTATATCTATCCTCCAGACGTAAACTGCTGTTTTTCATTCTGTACATTTCACACATTGATTCTTGGATTTATTTCCAGATTACTGTTCTGACTTCTCAGCCTGGAAAAAAGGTGGTGAGACAATTGGAGGAAGGACTGAAAGATACAGACCTAGTCAGGGTCAGGAGACTTCAGGTGGTTGAGATCACAAAGGGAGTCCTAGAGTATATGGACTCAGGATCCCCTGTTGAAGAGCCTAGCAGCGACGGTAAGAATTAAAGGAAGCGATAAAAAGAATTCTCATGACTAGTCAGAAAGACTATTTTCCATGGTCTTTTTTGTTCTTCAATCAAATGAAACCAACAGATTTCACAACAGTTCAGACAGGTGTTTCTAGGTGTATATATAGGCCTAACATATATTAAGTATATATTTACTATTTTAATGGTATCATGATATACATAATATTCTATAACCTTTGTGTGTTGGACAGCTGTGTTAATATCTATAGATCAGTCTTATTTTTGGCTACATGATTTTTTTTACTGTGTAGTTGAACCATAGTTTGTTTAATCATTTATTAATGAACAATTTGGTGTATTACACTTTGCTATTATAACCAATGCTGAATAAATAGACATATGTAGGGCTGGCTTCATGGACTTATGACCAGTACAGTCACATGGGGCCCTGCATTCAGAAACACCCTATGCTTGGGACCTAATGCCCTTTGGTTGCTCTCTTGAGATTCTTAATAATTTTATCTTTGAATTTATGTTTTATAAGTGAAGTGTGATGGAACAATAGAGTGTGTGCCAGGGGATTAGAGTCTCAACTCACACATGCCCTGCCTCTTGCATCCTTCCCACCTCCCCATAACGTTGCCAGCCTCCCAACTATGGTGTCCCCAACCGTACCCCAACCCAGCAACCACTGGTGCCCAGGTCCCTGCCAATAAATCCTACATAAATCACTAAAAATTCTAAATTTCCTAGAACAAAAAAAAAATAAAAATAAAATAAAATAATAAATTTCCTAGAACAGAAAATATCCAAACTGAGTCTTAAGGGACATGTAGAAATTAGTCATCTAGAGGAAGAAGAAAAGGACATTCAAAAGGCATGAGAAAGCAAAATAATCAGCTTTCAGGGAAGTGCCCATAGTTCCCTATGACTAGAGCCAGTCAGGCAGAAGCAGGGAGTAAGTCTGTAAGGGTAGGCAAAGATTAGATCAAGAAAGACCATATATGCCATTCTAAGACATTTAGATTTCATTCTAAGGCAATGGAAATTTATGAAAAGATTTTGATCAGAAGTCAAGGAGAAATGCCCAAATTTTGGAGTTTAAGAAACTTTTAACCAGTTTTAATTTATCCAACACTCAAGTGTTATTCACCCTTCAGCAGCCCTTTCCAGATGTATTGGCCTCCTCCAAGGTTGTGCACATGGGAAGAGCCACTCTTCTAATACCATTATCTCTTCCTGGTCACATTTGAATAACCTGCTAATTAGGTTGGAGAGTTGAAAGCTAAGGGTGTGTTTCCCCTCAAATCCTGACACATGTGGATCTTTCTAGCATCATGAGGCCACTGATATTGTTCTGGTCCAGGAGGGAGGGTAACCAGCCTTAGTTGTGTGTTTATGATCTCTCACCCACTTGGCACACTCTGCTTTTCTCAAGCCAGTCTCCTCACTGAATGTCTTTCTTTCTCTCTCCATCTTCACGTACGGAATTCACTGAATTCCCTCTTCTTTCCTCTGTGTTCCTTCCCTTATCCTCTTCCAGCCAAATCCTCCCCATCCCTTAAGGTCTAATTCATGTTCATAATTACTGTGTTGATTTTCCTCTCCTTAGAACAATGATATCACCTGTGGTCTATACCAAACAATTTAGAACAATTTAGCATGTATGCCGTGGAAAATTGTTCACCATTGTTTTATTGTGTGATAATTTTGTCTTCTCATCTAATCTGTAAACTACTTGATATCTTTTCTCTCTGCATTAAATTCTACATGCCTTGGGATTAGGAATTTGTCTTACTCATTTCTGTGTCTCAGTATGTAGCATATCCTAGATTACAGGAGATATTTGTTGAATGAATTGATGACAGTGATACCTGTGGAGGCAGTTCTTGGTCTTCCCAGCATCTCCTGAATCCCCATTCCCTAGTAACACCCCTATATTCCTGGTCACAGAGTGGGCCATGACCCAGTGAGGCCATCATAGTTCCTTGGGCCTCCAGAGTCCTCCCAAGTAGGTTTTCAAACCGAATCTCTGAGAGAGAAGCTCTTTTTCTTTCTCTTTGGCCATGGGTATATCAGGCATGGACTATGTCCTTTTCTCCCTTCAGTGACTATATCCACTAAGAACTTAATGTATCTCTAGTAGCACAGAGCTCAGAGTACTCTGAGGCCACCTGATGCCTTTATTTAGAATAGTTAGTGGCTAGAGCTGTATAGAAGAGCTTTTACATTCAGGAAGGCAGCTTTCTACCTTGTGTCACTGCTAATGATTCTTCCAGTAACTTCCTATTTCCTTATAAATAATACATCATCCCATATATTGCTTGTGATTCCTCTTTGTGGGTTAAGTAAATGTATGGCTCATAGCTTGAAATCTTCCCAGTTTGCCTGTACTTTCCTCATAATTATTTTATTCCATGATGTTTGCCTCATCTTGGTGTCTTTATGAAGAGATTAGTAAAAGCAACTTCTCTCATTCTCAAAAAGATGAGTGCTCCAGAATCAGGTTGTCTGAGTCTAAACCCCACTTCTATCACTTACTAGCCGTGCAACTTTGGGCAAGGTACTTATTCTGGTCTAAGCCTTAATTCCTGCCCTATGCAGTAGTTGTGGGGATTAAATGAGATTGTGTCTGTTAATTAGTACATAATAAATGTTTAGTAAAAGTCAGCTAATCATGGGGAATCTGAGTGGCTCAGTCAGTTACGTGTCTGCCTTTGGCTCAGGTTATGATCCAGGAGTCCTGGGATTGAGCCCCAGGTTGGGCTAGAGGGGAGTCTGCTTCTCCCTCTCCCTCCTCTCTCTCTCTCTCTCTCTCTCTCTCAAATAAATAAAATATTTTTAAGTCAGCTAATCCTGTTAATATTTCTGAAAATTTTTGTATATGGGTGGTCTAATATTGATGAGATTTGTTTTTTAATGGCCAGGTCCCAAGTGGACTCTAAGTTACCTGAGGCTGTCTAATGAATCTTTGTATCACTCACATATATCATTCAGCATGACACATAGTAGATTTTCAATAAATGTTTCTTGAAAAAAATAACTGAATGTTTGGGAAAAACCAAATTATTTGGGAGAGGTAATGGTCACCTTGTCTTACATCAACTCAGATAGTAGGTTCATATGTCAGACACTCATAGCTTCCCTTTGTAGCCCAAGAATACCATGAATTAATTCAAGCACTTCTTAGTCTATCTATAATTTTAACTCTGGTAACCATGATCATCAATTAAATAATTTTTTTTTTTTTTTTACTTCTAGGCCAGTTACAGGGAAATGTTGATGCAGATTACTTTTTTTTTAAGAGCAAAAACTCTTTATCTGCATCTTATTTTAAATACAGTGCAGGAGTCAGTAGTGCTTATAAACAGTAGAGAGTTCTCTTCTATGGAATCAGAAAAATAGCAAAATAAGGCACAGTCTGTTATTGTTACAGATTTGCGTTAGGCAGTAGTGTTCTTTCTGGAAGGCACAAACTGGAAATCTGATTACCTAAATTTAAGAATGTGGTTCTGAAGATGTCCTATGACAGGGATAGCTAACTTGGAACAAATTCCCTTAACTGGAATTAATGGCAATTAATGAGACAACATCACTTCTAGGTTAACAACACTCGGGAACTTAAGAGATCCTCATCACCAGCCACACAGCAGTCTCGGAAGGCACTGGGCTAGGTATGGGCTGGGCAGCTGCACTTCAAGTTTGGAGTGCTTACAAAAACAAAGGCACATTTCCTAGAAATTGAACTTTACAGTAACAAACAGAAAATAATCAGTTTAGATAGAACAGTAGGCAAGCTTGAGAATATAGCAGGTTCTAAGTCAAATGTCTTGAAGAGATTTCTTGAACAGCAGGCTGGGGCCACACTGGTTGTTCACGGGGAAACATTCCACACGATGATGATGATGATGATGATGACCACGACGACAATCCCTATCATCCACATCTTGCAATTCTTCCACCAATATTTTCTCTTCAACTTGGCAGCACTTGTTTCAAATTGGGATGCTCCTGCCTGTAGCGCGTCTGCACGATCATCTAACTCTGAGAGTTTCTGATCTCTTTCCAACACCTTATCCACATTGACTCTCATGATGTCCACCACCTCATCTACTTGATTTTGTGTCTGCTGAAGTCTTCGGTTGCTGCCAGAGGCAGCACTTGACCCTAGGGTTGCACCTGAAAACATTTTGGCGGCGGCGGGCGACAGTCAGCCGAGCGGCGCAGCGGGACCGAAGGCCGGGTGATGCAGATTATTTTTAAAAAGTAACTATGAGAGAATGTCCTTCAGTCAAATTCTGCCTCCTTTAGTGCAGTCCTGTGCAGTGAGAAGTAATTATAAAGATGATGAGAGACTGCAAGATCCAGAATCATCAAAATAAAAACAAACTTAGAAATGAAGAAGGTAGACTCACATTTTAGGAAGTTTTTTAACAAAATCTAAAATGAAAAGATTATGAGTTCTAAGACTCCACCCCAAGATTGCTAGAACTCATACAGCAATTCGGCAGTGTGGCAGGATACAAAATCAATGCCCAGAAATCAGTGGCATTTCTATATACTAACAATGAGACTGAAGAAAGAGAAATTAAGGAATCAATCCCATTTACAATTGCACCCAAAAGCATAAGATACCTAGGAATAAACCTAACCAAAGAGGTAAAGGATCTATACCCTAAAAACTACAGAACACTTCTGAAAGAAATTGAGGAAGACACAAAGAGATTGGAAAAGTATTCCATGCTCATGGATTGGAAGAATTAATATTGTGAAAATGTCCATGCTACCCAGGGCAATTTACACATTTAATGCAATCCCTATCAAAATACCATGGACTTTCTTCAGAGAGTTGGAACAAATCATCTTAAGATTTGTGTGGAATCAGAAAAGACCCCGACTAGCCAGGGGAATATTAAAAAAGAAAACCATAGCTGGGGGCATCACAATGCCAGATTTCAGGTTGGAATACAAAGCTGTGGTCATCAAGACAGTGTGGTACTGGCACAAAAACAGACACATAGTTCTGTGGAACAGAATCGAGAATCCAGAAGTGGACTCTCAACTTTATGATCAACTAATATTCGATAAAGGAGGAGGAAAGACTATCCACTGCAAAAAAGACAGTCTCTTCAATAAATGGTGCTGGGAAAATTGGACACCCACATGCAGAAGAATGAAACTGGACCATTCTCTTACACCATACACAAAGATGAACTCAAAATGGATGAAAGATCTAAATGTGAGATAAGATTCCATCAAAATCCTAGAGGAGAACACAGGCAACGCCCTTTTTGAACTTGGCCACAGTAACTTCTTGCAAGATACATCCACGAAGGCAAGAGAAATAAAATGACAAATTAACTTTAAATCACATTCATATCAGTAAAGTTTTTCTATAAATATTCAGACTGTATTGCCTATTATATATTTTCTTTTTTTCTAAAGATATTATTTATTTATTCATGAGAGACACACAGAGAGAGAGAGAGGCAGAGGGAGAAGCAGGCTCCATGCAGGGAGCCCGATGCGGAACTCGATCCCAGGACTCGATCCCGGGACTCCAGGCCCACTCCCCGAGCCAAAGGCGGCACTAAACCACTGAGTCACCCAGGGATCCCCTGTATTTTCTCTCAACTGCATAAATGGTACTTCCTTTCATATGTTCCTGCTTGTTCTAACTGGTGCGTTTTTTATTTTAAAATTTAGCTGAAAGATCCAGTCTAGCTCTCTTTGTAGTAGCTTTTGTCTGGTCATTTTAACATTTTTTTTATTACAAGTTGTACAAATTGAAACATTGCAGAAGTATAATATAGACAGTTCAAAATGACCCAAAATTCTGCCCTCCAGAGATATCCACCATCAACAGCAAGGGCACTTTCTGCTGAATCATTTTCCTTAACTATACATGGACATGGACACACATGTAACATTATTATTGTTATCAGTACTTTCACAAAAATGTAACTATAAAGTACTCACTGTTATGTCTGCATTTTTATTTTTTCATTTAGCTAATTATCCTATTTAGCATATTCACACATAGAGATCTAATCTACTCCTTTTAACAGCTGTGAGGCATTTTACTGTATAAATTCATCACTATTTATTCAACCGTCCAGTTGGATTTTTACATTTTACTGAAGAACTATGTGACCTTGAACAGCTTATTTAAACTTTTTATTCCATAATTTTTTCATTTACAAAATAGGAGTAATAAGAGGGTCATAGGGTTTTTATGAGAATTAAATACACCTTGCATGTAAAGCGCTTAGAACAGAGCCTAGCACGTGTGAGCAGTAAATAAATGTTACCTGTTGATACTGATAGTAATAGAACCGTTTTATATATACCTTTTTACTGAGAACATTTCAAGTTCTAATAATTTTGTTATTGAAAAAGAAGATACGACCATAAAATAATTTTTTAATTTAAAACCATTCATAATCTTACCACCCAATTATACTGAGTTTTGCACATTGTTTCTCATTGTTTTGCACATTATATTTAGGTTACATAGTTATAATTCATATATGTGGTATTTTGTTTTCATGTAACATAATATTATAAAACTTTTCCCACAGATTTTGTAGCCTTACTTTCCATTATTTATCCATTTTGTTCCTCTTCTGCTCTTAAAAGAGGACTAGGAAGTTAGTCTATGAAATAGAGATAGGAGGTATAACTCCCACAGAGGAAGCTGGGAGGCTTCTTTACCTTTATATGCCCTCTTACATATATTATGCCAACTCTGCTCATTAGAGCAGATCACTAATGCTGAATCTTGATCATAAATTTAGGGTCTAGGCGAGCCTGCCAATTCTAGCAGCCAAAGTTAACCCCATAAAAGAGCCATTGATGGAGGGAATAATGCTAATAATGCTGTTGGCTTTACTCATTTGTAAGTTTTGAGCCTCAAGGAAAAGATACATGAAATAAAAGCCACAGTCTCTTAATCTACTCTAACTTTTGTTTATGGATCATAATAATAGCAACATTTATTAAACACTGTCCAAATACTTTCTTTCTGTTCTAGTTTCCACAGGGGTGCCTGGGTGGCTCAGTAGGTTAAGCATCTGACTCAGTATCAATCAGTTCAGATCATGATCTCAGGTTTGTGAGATCAAGCCTGGGCTCAAGCACTGGACCTGGAGCCTGCTTGAGATTTTCTCTCTCCCTCCTGCCTCTCCCCTTTATCTAAAATAAACAAATAAATAAATAGATTTAAAAAAAATAAGTGATTTTCATTTATTACCTTATTAATCCTCATGCATCTAGATGAAGAAACTAAGGCATAGTTCTTTATCCAAATTAACTTTCCCAAGGTTTCTCAGAGATAGAACAAGGATTCAAGTCTAAGCAGTTTGATTCCAGATTTCACATACTGAAATGCCCATTCTCTTTACTGCCTTTGTTGAAAAGGGCAATAGAAATAATCCACAATTCAAACATTGGTTCTTTGAAAAAACTGATAAATGGAGAATCCTCTGGTGAAACTACTGAAGGAAAAAGACACAAGAAACTATGTTAGGGTTGGGAAAAGGGACCATAACTGCAGATAGAACTATGAATTCAAACATTTAGAAAAAATGGACACATTCCTTAAAAGATATCAAATTTGACTCAAATAAAAAATCTAAATGTTTCCCGTAATGTACCAATCTTAGGTGGCTTTTCAGCTGAGTTCTATCAAGCTTCCAAGGAAGAAATCAGTCCAATCTTATACAAACTCTTCCAGAAGTGGAAGGAAGGAAGGGAAGGAAGGGAAGGAAGGAAGGAAGGAAGGAAGGAAGGAAGGAAGGAAGGAAGGAAGGAAGGAAAAAACAAATGAATACTCCCCTCCAGAGTCTCAAAAGACACCATAGGAAAGTGATAAGACCAATCATAACTATATATCTAATTCAAATGACCAATAAAGAGCTGGTATCCAGAATAAACAACTTCTTTAAAAAATCCAATTTTGAAACGAGCAAAAGATCTGAATGGTTATTTCACAGAAGAGGAAATTTAGTGACAAATTAATAGAAGAAAATTTATCACCCTCATTAGTAAGCAGGGAAATACAAATTGAAATAATGATATACCATTTTATGCCCACTAGTTAGCAAAAAAATAAGACGTCTCACTGTAGTGTTGATAATAGCAGAGCATTAGAAACTCTTATACACTGATAGCATGTAAACTGATACACAACTTGTCATTTTGTTGTAAAGTAACATTCACAATATCCTATAATCCAGCAATTCCATTCCTAGGAGAATATCCCTGGAAAAACTTCTACAAATATGTACCTAGAAACACATTTTGAATGTGAATATTGACATTATTCAAAAAGCCAAAAAATTAGAAACCACTTAAATGTCCATTAAATGAAACATGAATAAATAAGCTGAATATACAGCTGTTCGTTGAGTTTATCTTTGATAACCACATTAAAGTCATTTCCCTGTGGTGTTAAGACTGAATTAGAACCACTGTTGTATTTATTACCTAAAGAGTTTCAACACAGAGACATCTGCTTATTTCATTAATAGAAGCCATGGTCTCAGAAAATGTTCGTTCTTCCTTATTCTAAACTGAATTAAAGAATTTTTTTAAGCTCTCAACAGAAAATCTAAAGTTATTTGAAAATTGAGATTTTAAAAAATTTCCTCACCAACATTACAAAGGAATAATTTATATGCTGTACATTGCACCCATTCAAAGTATAAATTCAATGAGTTTTGACAGTTGTATATGCCCACAAATCACCACCACAATCAAAATACAGAACATTTCTATCATCTCTAAAAGATTTCCTTTGCCCATTTACACTCCTTCCCTCCCTCATTCCCTAGCATATGCCACTGATGTGCCTTTTGATTAATTTGCATTTTATATAAATGGAATCATACAATACATACTTCTTTTGTGTCTGACTTGCTTCTTTTAGATTTTGAGATTAAACCATGTTGTTTACACCAGTAGTTTCTTATTATTGCTGATTGGTAATATATTGTATGAATATGCCACATTTTGTTTAACCATTCTCCTGTTAATGGATGTTTCCATTGTTTCCAGTTTTTGACTGTTGTGATGAAAACTGCTGCAAATATCCATAAACAAATTTTTGTATGACATGTTTTTATTTTTCTTCGGTCTTACTGTGTTTATGGTTCATCTTTTTTCATCCGTTTGTTTCAAACTATTTGTGTCTTTATAC